GACAACACTGACCTTCCATATGAAGTGTACATCGCTGATACCAGTTTGAGAAAACCATTCTGTGGATAAACTGAGAATCTGAAATCTGTGAGAAAGGTCAAACCTATCTCAGGAACATAACAAAGGACTGTTTCACTCACAGGTTCTATGTTCTTTGAAGGTCATGGACGCACATACAGTAGGAGCAGGTTAAAGATGAACTGGGTATAACTAGCCAAAGTGTAACTTGTTAATCCCAAGATATTTATGCTACTGTAGCAAAGACAACTGAAAGCTTTAGACTGAGTTATGGGCTGTTTTCAGTTGTCAGGATCCTCCAGCTGTGTGACGGCTTTCAGTGAATATAAATTTAATCTAAGACATTTTGGCATACAGATACAAAAAATGATAAACAAGTTAAAACAAAATTCATAGCTTGTTTTTCTGTGCACAGAAAAACTGCTGCTTGAAAGTGATTTGTATTTCACTTTTCTCTCTTCCTTATCTCTCATTCACCTTTGCAGTACAGACAGACCTCAAGCTGGATTCCAAGAAAACTGGCAAAAAAAAAAACAATATACTGTGGTTGTCACTGAACAATAAATGTGTCTTTGGAAAAGGTCATGCCAGTTGTTTTTTTTAAAGCACCAGCCTTCCCTGCAGGTCCTTGACAGGACTCTTTTAAAATCATGTTAAGAGAAACACAAATAAAAGCAGGGTTTGACAATCATGGTATGTGACAGCCTTACTCCGAGTTTAGATTGAAGAGATGAGATAACACCACTCATTTGCGTTTAATATATATGGATGTGTTAGTTCCTTGTAAATCATTAGCTCAGGTAGTGACCTATATATTTATGGCAGCAGAAGCATTTCTATAATGACAGGAACTATTTCTTAAGTAGAACAAAGTATGAAAGAATTATTGCTGCCATGCTTGTGCATAATGCTTATGCATCATCCTGCAGCGGAAATATTATCACCTGGGTGGAAAAAGCAGTATGTTTCCAAATAAGTATCTGTGCTCTGAGTAGCCCCATATAAAGCACCTCTTTGGCCTCAAAACCCTTAAGCTTAAACTGTGTCCACATTACACCATTTAATTTAGTGAGAATTATGTTTTTCTCCCTCTTTTTTGCCTTTGTCACTCTCAAAGTCACAGTATACTTTTCATGTCCAAGAAACCTACAAGGTTTCCTTATAAGGACCTGAAGTGGACGTCCAACATCAGCTCCATCATCAAAAATTGCACAGCAGAGGATGTTCTTCCTGCACCAGTTCAGGAAGTTCAACCTGCCCCAGGAGCTACTGATACAAATACGTATGATAAATTTGCTACAACAACAGAACACAACGTTAGTTTAAAAGGCTGTAAAAGTCATTAAAAGTATTCATATGTTGATAAACCCCATTGTTCCCTGCAGAAAACAGTGAATCTGAATCGGCTGTTTGGAACTATTCGAATCTACATGAGTCACTTGACTGGCTGCTTTTTTTGACCCCTCAGTGTCACAACTCTTTTATCCTAATGGCTCTGGGAAAAACCAGTCTAAATATGAGAGCCAACTTTTCTATGACTGCAACTTTCTGTGCATTAACTCATTTTAAATTAATACAGCTGTATGCATTCTACAGGTCATATCCCGTTTATAAAATAGTAGACTTTAATATAAAGTTATAACTTCCTGGTCATAAAATAGTAAATTGAATGATAAAGTATTAGTGCTGCAAAATAAGACTTGGTGCTGGCCTTGGTTAACAAGCATTGCTTATGACCCAAAGACAAATAGTTATTTCCTGATTCAGTTGTATGACAACTGAAACAGAAAAATATGTAAAAGAAAAACACTAAATAAGTTGGAGGGGACAGAACTGAGGTTTCACCAGCTGAGACTGTTCCTTTTATGACGTTGGCTGTGTCAGGGCCGCTCGGCGGGCGCTGCCTCCCCC